TTACAGAGAGATAGATTTGGAAGCTATCAGCAGAGAGATGGTGCCTGGATAATGGGAGTAAAGAGGGCAGCTTAGAGATAATGTGAAAAAGAAAGCTGAAAGGAGGACCTATACCCCAGCCTTGAGGAATTCCAGAGTATAAACATCTAGTAGGCAAGGGCAAAAGCCATTAAAGGAAGTTGAGGGGAAAAAACAGCAAAGTCTGCAAGAAGAAAGCCATGAATCTGAGATCTTAAAGCATGAAAAGGGCAGGTATTGCAGTGCACCCTTATAATCCCAGCACTAGCGAGGCTGAGGCAGGAGGATTGATGTGCATTCAAGGCCAGCCTGAACTGCAGAGTGAAACTCTGTCTCAAAAAGACAAGGCGGAAAAGGCATGAAAAACAAATGTCTAGCAGAACTGAATGGCCCATCAAGTCCAATGCAACTGGAAAATCTAATCAAATGAGTGGGAAATTCCTACTCACTTAGGAATGTGGAAGTCATGATGACCTTGTGAAACAGTAATGGTAGAGGTGCATGGAGGAGTACGTGGGGAATAAGGAAATGCAGTCAAGGGGTTGCACAGAAAAGATACTGGAGAAGTTTGTCTGTGAAGGAAACTGGGGGCACGAGCTGGGAGACATGAGATAGAAGGAAGGTTTGCTCTAAGATGAAAGACCTGAGCATGGTTGATTGTGATGAGGGGATCCAGTGAAGAGGAAGAATCGATCAACCAAGGAACAAGAAGGGTGGTTCTTCCCTCCCACAAGGCACCATCTCCTGCAGTCCAAGCACAGCTCCGCCAAACACATCAGGTGTTCTTAGCCTAGTAGGTGCTTCCCCTGGACCATGCCAACTCTCTCTGGGATCAAAGGGTAACCTGGAAGCCTTCCCTCCCCTGCCTTCATACATTCCAACCGCTAGTACAGAGCTCAAATCTGTCAAATCTCTCCCATAAATGGTAAACGCAGCAAAAGCAACTTGGTAAATCTGTTCAAAGCAACCTGGGGACACTTGTCTCAAAATAAAAAGGGCTTGGGAAGTAGTACAGTGAAAAGGCCCCGGGTTCAATCCCCAGTATAATGAGGAGAGAGAAAGAAAGGAGAGAAAAAGGAAAAGAGGAAGAGAAAAGGAGGCAGAAAGGTACAGAAAGAAGAAGGAAGAAATGAAGGAAAGAATGATGGAAGGAAGGAAAGCAAAGACGGAGGGATGGAAAGCTCAGGTCCCCATAGCACCGGACTGGCCTGGAGTATCTGCTCAGAAAATGTGTGGAATGAACCGACGAATAAACATTGTTACTAACGAGTGATGAGCTACAAGATATGCGGGCAACCATGAGAATGGCCTGGGTTGGCAGGAGGGGTGACCTCTGTTCCCTCAGAAAACTTGGTGCCTGGATCCCCAGAAGGGGTAGGAGGCAGGGTGGGGTGGACTCCTCACCCTGAGAGATCACATTGTTCTGAGGGCTGTGGAAAGTACAACCTCCACGGAGGCCCACGTGTTCCCCTCCTCTTCTCCCCCAGCAGGGAGGGAACAGATGGGCGTAATTTATGCCCACACCCTTCCCTTGCAGTCCTGGCACAGGGGAGAGGGGATGCAGGGGCAGAGACCCACCCTGCTTCCATAAACTTCTTCCAGCATCTGCACAAGGGAGCACAGCAGGGGCTGGCAGGGTCAGGCTGGGAGCAAGAGAGGACAGGCAAAAGGGACAAGGGGAGGGCAAGGAGGGAGCCGCCACCTGGGAGTGCCCGTGGCATTCCGGCCCGCATGTCAGCTGGGTGCACGCTGTCAACATGTTCTGAAAGGAACAGACTCTTCCACCTGCTTCGAAGACTAAGACAATGGGACTCAGAAAGGCAAAGGAACCGCTCCAAGGTCACCCAGCTGGTGATCGATTGCAGAGCCAGGATTCCAATCGAGGTCTCACTGTGACTGTACCAGACCCCCAGAGCAGGTGCATGTCACATCTTCAGGTCTCCTTCTAGAGTGATGGCAGAAGGACCCCAAGGCCCAGGCTTCTGGCTAAGAGGTCCGGGCTGTGGGGAGCGTCCTAAAGGGAACAGAGAAGCTGCTGGAGGGACACTGAACCCTTGGAGAGCCAAGGAGCCGGGCACACATGCGAGTTCCTTTGACAGCCCCAAGGCTCTCAGCCAGGCCACAGCAACTCTTGAGGCTGCAAGAGGGGTTAGGGGTGGCGTTCCGTAAAGGGCTCAGCTCTGAGTCACTGATGCTTACCTCCCCACCTCCCTCTGGTCTCTTCACTCATGCCAGTGGAGGTACCAGGAATCACGGGTTGGGGTGTCAAGTGAGCCTCAAATGCCAGCTCTTGCGTGTGGGTGCGTCACTTGACTTCCGGAGCCCTGGCTGCCTTAGCCTCAAGGAGGCTTATGAGGTGGAGAGCTTGAGTCTGACCCGCAGTTGTGTCTCTGGGCCTTATCTGGAGTTATTTCGGTTTGGTTTCTTTTCGCTCCATCCCATTAGCTGCAGCTTGTACACACTGAGAAAAGACACCTAGCAGCCCAGCTTCCCAGCCTCTTTGAACAACCAGTCTACTCTGCAGGCTTGTACTGCCCGTGGTGACAGTTTAGAGAGGCCACACACGCTTGTTCCCACTGTCCCCCAGCTGCCTCCCCACCTCACCCATGGCACTTGCCCACAGGATGTGACATTTTCGGCCCCTGCTGTTAGAAACACTTGGAGTGAATCTCCGAGGACTGTGAGAGCACTGATCGTCCACCCCACCCAGAGCCCAACACAGGGCCGGCAGCAAGCTGGTTCTCAGCCACCCATCTCTCTAACAAAGACATGGATTGAATCCCTGCTCCGTGCAGGCCCCTGTGAGAGGACGGAGCCTGAGCAGACGTGTCCATGATGCTTACAGCCACCCAGACCACTTGGCAGCAACTGTAGCACACATGAGGCGCAAAGGCGAGGAATTGCACAAATCTCAAGCTAAGGAGAAACAAAGGTAGGATTCAAATATACCAATTTGGCTCCAGAACCAGGAAGAGCTCTAAACCAGGGCGTGTGAAGTGTAGCCCATGAGCCAAAACTTTCCTGCCCTTGAACTCATTATGTAGCCTATGCTGACCTTATACTGACAGCAATCTTCTTGTCTCAGCCTCCTGAGGATTACAAACCGGCATCACCATGCCCAGCAAAGTAAAAAATAAAAGAAAACTTTTTTTTTTTTTTTTGGTGTTTTTGAGGCAGGGTCTTACTACATAGCTGGACCTTGAACTCACCCTGCCTCAGCTTCCAGAGTGCTGGGATTACAGATGTGTGCTACCATGCCTGGTTGCCCACACTTATTCTTAACCACAAGCCCAGCATCCTACTTTCATAGATTCATTATTTTCAAAAAATTTATACTGGAAGTAAGGGACCCATAATTTTTAATGTATTAAAAGAGGGATTTTGTGATGAAGGCGACCTTTATGGCTCCTATACCACACCCCCAAAGACTTTGAAAAGAGGTCATTAAGCTGACACCAGAGTGACAGAGAGCCAGTCATAGAGGGATAGGGCAGAGCCTTCTCCCAGACTGAGGACTAACTGAGGCACAGGCCCTGGAAGAAAGGCCCAGGGTGCTGCTGGGGGTTCTAGGAACAAATAAGAAGTCCACACTGTTAGAACCAGGCAGCACAGGTCAGTGAAGAACATCCTGAAAATCTGTGACCGGATGAGCTAACCAGGCCTGGCAGAGACCCGAAGCCCCTCCTTGAACCTGGCAGGGCTCCCTCCCTGGAGTGGGAGTCAGCTCCCACGAAGAGCCACCCTTCTGCACTGGCATGGGCCCGAGGCAGTAAAAGATGTGACGAAAAAGCCCTTGGCCACACACAAAGCAGTCCAAACCTGACGACTGGCCCTGACGTGTGTGCTGGAGTGAGCAGGGAGGATCCGACCCTCGAGAGCTGCAGAGCCCGTGAGCCAGCCACCTCCTGGCTCACCCCTTCGGGGCCTGTGCTCTCCTCCCAGCCAGGCTGACTCACAGGCTCTTGGCCAGGAAAGGGAAGGCCAAAGAAAGGTAGCAGTGGAGGGGCATGGAGGGCCGGGGCAAAAGCCTGAGGTGCTTCCTTGCAGAGAGGTAATCTGAGCAGGGTATAAACTGGGGAAGCAGAAGCAGGAGAAGAGTGTGTGTGTGTGTGTGTGTGTGTGTGTGCCCTCAGGGGCAGGTGCCAAAGAGGGTACTAGGTATAACGTGAGCTGAACAAATCTAGTTTCTGTCATTTACTCAGCCCCCAGCCCCTTTTGTTGAAAGATAATGTTAAGCAACTGTGCCCAGAACTGTCTGTCCAATCTGGGAGGATCTGGAAAGCTCATAAAGGAATGATGGGCCAATGAGAGATCTGGAGCCCAACAGCCTAAGGCCAGCTCCACCACTCACCAAGTCACCTTAGGAAGATCTCATCCCACTCTGAGTCTCTCTTACACACACACACACACACACACATTGGGAACAACAAAGCTCAATTTGAGACTTACAAGAAGCTGAAATAGCCAGGCGTGGTGGCACATGCCTATAATCCCAGCACTCAGAAGGCTGAGGAGGATCATTGTGAGTTTGAGACCAGCCTGGGCGACAAAGTGAGTTCAAGGCCAGCCTGAACTATATAGCGAGACTCTGTCTCAAAATTACAAAAACAAAAAAAAAAGAAGCTGTAATAATCACATGAAACACTTAGCAAAGTACAGGGTACACAATAGCTCTCCAAAATCTCAGGTTCTTGCCCATCTTTGATTCCCAGTGTTGAGCCCAGCACCCAGCCCAGCAAGATTGGCTAACACTCAGAGAGCACAGCAGGGTGGCTTCTGTGGCCCAGGCTGTCCAGCACACAGTCTGACTCTTCAGGACAGAAGACGCTTGAGAAAGCCCAGGTCAACCAATGTTGCTAAGATTTGGCATCAAGCATTCATTCATTCATTCTCTCATTTGCTCAACAAAAGTCTATGGAGTAGTTGCTCTGAGCCAGACCTACAGGAACAGCAAATGCAGAGACAATGAAGAGATGCTGGGGAGCAACCAGACCCCACAGTGGGGATGGATGGACGGCACACAGCCTACAGATAAACACCAACCAAAGGAGCACTTGTGTGAATGGCCATTTGCTCATGAGCTCTAGGTATAAATGCTGCTCACATCACTCACACACATACAGAAAAGCACTTCAGTTGAAAATCAAGTCAGGGCCAGGTGTGGTAACTCATGTCTATAATTCCAGCACTTGGGAGGCTGAGACAGGAGGATTGCTGTAAATTTGAGGCCAGCCTGGGCTACATAGTGAGTTCAAGGCCAGCTATGTAGTTCACCCTGTCGAAAGAAAGAAAGAGAGAGAGAGAAAGAAAGAAAGAAAAAAGAAAAAAAGAAAAGGGAAGAGAGAGAAAAGTAAGTCATGTGAACAACTCACATGCTTTTTCTGTAATGGGGTTTGAACTGCTTGCTGGGAAGTGCTCAGTCACTGAGCTACATCCAAGCCCACAGCTCAGGTCTCACATTCCAGACATGTCTGGAGCCAACTCCTGCTCCTCCAGCATTCACCTGTGACCTGGGGAAAACCATTCACTTCTCTGAAGTTTCTGGAAACTAAATCGGGGATAATACCTACCACTGCGGCCCAGAGACTGGGAAGGGTGTGGACCTAACTGTAGCTGTCCTGAAATATGTACTTAGACCTTCTTCTCTGTGACAGTAGTGGGACATCCTGATATTACCTGAGTACATATAAATATATGGTCACCCAGAATAAAGTGGCCTTCCTTGCTGCTATATTTGACCTTGCTCCTAGGTTCTGACCAATGGATAACTAGAAAAGGTGCATATAACTTCCAAGAATTGTGCTTAAAGTATACTCTCTTATCTCTGCCTTTTTCTTTTTCTGTTTTCTGAAAGGCAACATAATGGCTGGAGCACCAGCAAGTACCTTGGACCACGAAGTAACCTTGAAACTACCAAAAGACACAAGGAGCTTGGACCTCTGACACTACTCCATGTGGAAACCATGGACTGGACCACCTTTGGCTTCTTACATTAAAAAGGAGGAGAAAGCCTCTGTCTTTCTAAAATGATACTGTTTGGAGGAGGAATGGTGTTTCAGGTACTTCTGAACTGAAGACAGTTCCCCCCAACCAATTTCCATTACTAGCAGCACAACCTATTCAGGAGACCAGCACTCCCCTCTCAGAGCTGGTGAGCACTGCTCTTCATGTCCTCCCAGCGGAGGAGCCATCCAGCCGGGCTCCAGCTCACCGTGCATGAGTTCCAGTTCTCCTTCAGGGAGATCACACGCCCTGTGGGATGCTCTTAAAGCACTGATCCATTCACAGGTGACAACGCCTGCTTCAGAGGCCAGGAAGGTCCTGGTATCCTGGAAATAGGGGAACCAGAAACATGAGAACACGCTTACAAATGCACGAAGATAAGGTTTCAAAAAGCAGAGATGGAATGTGTATAAAAACAGAATCCAGCTGGGAGTTCGACACGGCAGCTTACAAAGAAATTCATGTGTCCAGGGTGCTTCTCCAAACCCCTTCTGCTAGTCAGAGCACCATGCCTAGGTCTTAGGGCCAGAGAGCTGGAGAAACCCCAATCTGATCCAGGAGCCAGCATCGAAACAAGCTTAGTAAAGCCACGCGCAGGCAGTCCATTCCTTCACGTGGCAAATATTCACTGAGCACCTACTGTGTATGAGGAAAGGGGCCAGGTGCAGAGAACAGGCAGCAAATGGGTAAGAGAGGGAGTCAGGAGCTGAGCCTGATGCAAACAGAAAACACAAATCTCCACCCTCTCTGCCCCAAAGCACCCCTAGATGCCCGTACTTTGAACCCAAATTTTCCTCACGGAAGGGACCAAGGGACTTAAAAATGAAATCGAGCTTTAAGGACGTGACTCAGGCAGGTAGGCTCACCTCTGCCTGAGCGCACCAGTGGTGTCTTGTACATCCGTCATGGGCCTGGGTCCTGCCTGCGAGGCCCCAGGCTCTGAGCCTCTGTGCACTCTGCTTTCATGGGATCATGGGTCAGGAGTGTAGCTCAGCAGTAAAGCACCTGCTTAGCATGAGTGAAACTCGACCCAGGGTGGAACCCAGCATCCCCAGCTCCCAGAAAAAAAGAGTGGTGAGTGTCATCAGGCAACCTGACTGAATGCTGAGTGAGCCACACAAACCCACTGGGGTTTGGGTCATGTATCTGTAATGGGGGGACAACTGGGACTGTGAAGATAAACTGCTATGTCTATGGAAAAAGAGGGGAGAACAGAGGGAGGAGGAAAGCCTAGATCAGGAGCTCCGACCTGGCTTACACCCTCGTGGCCCTGCATCCTCCTGCTTGCTAAAAGCCTCATCTTTGCATTCTTCTCTCTTAGTGAAACGTGTATAATACACAGTGCTTTCTCTTCTCTGGGCCTCAGTTTCCCCACTTAAAAGTCAAGGGTAATCCAGATGTGGTTGCAGGAGGATCACAAATTCAAGCCCAGCCTTGGCAGTTTAGCAAATTAACAAGACCCTGTCTCACAAGAAAAAAAAAATTAAAAGAGAGCTGGGTTACAGCTTAGTGCAAAGGCCCTGAGGTCAATCGGAAGATGAACAAGGAAGGAGAAAGAAGAGAAAGAAAAGGAAAAGGAAGAGGAAGAGGAAGAGGAAGAAACAGCAGTTGTGGTGGTGGCAGTGGTCTTGTTAGTGGTCATGCAGGTGGCCCACATGAATCCTACTGCATTGGTTCTATTTGCAAGCTCTGAAGCACAAAACCAGAGGGCTACCTGCTTGTCTCCGGGGTGAGAAGGAGCCTGGCTTCATATTTGTGTGTATTTGCCAGTCAGTCGCCCCAGAACCATCAGCAGGTAAACACTTTGTCAAGGAAGTGAGAGCTGAGGCAGATGGAACACAGGGGCCCCACAGGCCGCAGCCAGCAGCCCGGAGCACAGCTCAGCCAGGGTGCCTCAGTCTGAGGCCCAGCCTCCTTCGCCCAGGAGCAGCCAATCCCATGACCCGGGCTGTATCCAGAAGTCTCGTTAAATCTGTTTTATAACTCTTTTTTGACAAGTGAGGCCTTTAAAACGTATTTCCTCATTGTATGAGGGTGAAGTTCAGTCCAAACATTTGTCCACAGGAGGAACGGGCAGGCCCAGGGGCCAAGGGACCTTCGTGAACCCTGCTCGCAGCCCAGGGCCCCTAGAAGGGGCTGCTTCTACCCAGCACCCTGTCACTGGCTCTCCTCACTAGGAATGATAATGCAACACAAAGACCAAAAAGCCCATGCTGCCAACCCCTCAGAGCTTGCCCCTCAAATCCAGGGTTAGGATCTTAGATTTCTGGAAAAAAAAAAAAACTCTATTCTTACCCAAGACCACCCAGCTAGACAGTGCTAAGCCAGGGTTCAAATTCTAGCCCACGTGGTGCCAAGGCCTTAACTCATTGCTGCCAAAGACAGCGACCACTGGGAGTGAATTCCTTAACAGTCCATCTTTCTTTTTTCTTCCCAGTGCTGGGGATTGAACCCACAGCCTTGTGAACACAAGGCTTGTGCCCCATCTCCAAGCTGCACCTCCAGTCCAGGCCCAATTTTTGTTTGCTTTGTTTGTTGGTTTGTTGGTTGATTGTCGGTTGGTTGGTTGGTTTTTGTTGAGATAAAGATTCACTATGTAGTCCAAGCCGGCCTCAAATCTCTACATAGCCCAGGCTGGCCTTGAACTTGTCATCCTCTTGTCTCGGCCTCTCTAGTGTTGGGATTATATGTATGTATCACCATACCTGGCTATCATCCAGGTTTTTGTTTGTTTATGTGTTTGCTTTTTTTGAGGCAGAGTCCTGCTATGTAGTTTAGACTGGCCTTGAACTTGCTATGTGGTTCAGGTTGACTTCACACCCACAGCAATGCTCCTGCCTCAGCCTCCTGAGTGCTGGAATTACAGACATGCACCACCAGACCTGGCTAGATTTTGAGAAGCTCCTCTGAGAGCATAAATTACCACACTTTCCCTTGGTCCCAGTCTCTTGCTCTTGTGTTGGAGTTGCGTGTGGCTGAGAAGCTGAATTCTTCTTTCTAAAGGATAAAGCAGCTAAAGGTTGCTGGGCGGAGGCTCGATCTTGCAGCCATTTGTACAACAGGCCTCCAAGCCTTGCCTATGAAGTTTCTTAGAGTTTCATCAGGTGAGATGGGTCAGATCCAGTGACTCCTGAACCCAGCCAGTCACAGCCACCCACTTATCAAGGAGTGGGCAGCACTGTCTGGTCAGAGGTGTAAAAGGAGACCAGGGAGGTAGGGAAAATCCACTGCCTTCAGAGATCCCTCAGGCTTACTTTAGCAAGGCGATGGCTGGCTTTTGTGGGGGTGGGGGTGGGGGCTAAGGTCTGAACCCAGAACCTTCACACTACATCCCAGCTTTTTATATTTAATACGTTGAGCCACAGTCTTTTTAAGTTGCTCAGGTTGGACCCAAACGTGAGATGCTCCTGGCTAAGGCTCCCAGTGCAGGGAACACAGGTGTGCAGCATCACTCCCAGCTTCGGGGCTTGGCCCAGAAAGCAAAACTCAGGCTGCCTGGGGCAGGACACGCAGGTCTCCCAAGAACGGGGCTGTCCTCCCCAGGGCAGGCAGCTCCTGCCCACCCCTCGCCGCCTCGGTGGGTGCTCAGCCCTACGAGGTGAAAAGCGGAGCTCTCCCAGGGGGCCGGCTGTCCCGACACCGGCTGCTCTGTGCCCTCTTCAAATGCTAAACCTGAGATGAGGAGCCAGGCATCCCTCACAGCCAGGCCCACTGCACCTTCTTCGTGAGGCCTCTCCATGTCCCTGTCCCTCCACCAGCAGTACCTGTGTCCTAGGGAAAGTAGCCACATGGTAGCTCAGTTTCCACTGTTTGAATTAGAGCCCAGGGTGAGGGTTCTGGGAGATGAAATAAGTAAATGCTAATCCAAGGCCTGCAGGAACTCAAGCTGAACATATTTACTATGCGGAGCCAGGGGCTTAATTCAAACCTTTTCACAGAGTTATAGCCTATTTTAGTTTGTATTAGAGATGGGGTCTCACTAAGTAGCTGAATTGCACAGGCTGGACTCCAACTTTGGATCTTCCTGCCTCAGCCTCCCAGAGAGCTGGGGTCACAAGTGTGTGGGCCTAGCTCATGTTGGAGCTGTTTAACCATCATCCTTACTCAGGTTGGGTACCAAGGCCTCCAGAGGAATTCTAGTAGGTGCCCTAAGGCTCAGCCCTTCCTTCAGTGGGGACCCCTCTTTTCTTTGGAGTTCATTGAAAGCTTCCACGTAGTGAAGACCTCCTTGGCTACCTCAGCAGGGGAGTTTCCATTCCCTTTGGGCCCCAGGAGCCTGCGTGTACCCCTGAAGGCTCCTGGCTCTAGAGCAGTAGTCTATGTACACATTCTTTCCCATTACATAGAGAGGGGCTCCTTCTTACCCTAAATGCTGTCTCTGCCTGTAACAAAATAATGCCAGTGGGAAAACTATTACACTTGTATATCCCTAGAGAACCCCCGGTTGGAAAACTCATTTAAAAAGAAGATAGAAACCAGGTGTGGTAGAGCACACCTGTAATCCCAGCAGCCAGGAGGCTGAGGCAGAAGGGTCACTGTGAGTCTGAGGCCAGCTTGAACTACTTGTTAACGTCAGCCTGAACTAACCCGTAGCATTATTTTAATGTTATAATACCAACCTACAAAAAAAAAGGTCAGCCTGAACTGCACAGTGAGATCTTGTCTAAGAAACAAAGAAAAAGGAGAGGATAGACTCACAACCAAAAGCTTCTGCTGGCACCGGAAGTAGAGAAGAGGTAAGGATTTTTAATGCAAGCTTACTTCACTCTGGTCTCATTCACAAATCCACATCATATTTGGCAAGAAATTTGAAAGGCCCTCTAGTCCAACCCCCACTGGATTCTTGAATCACCCACAATTGCAGAAACAGTGCTCACCATCTTCTCAAATAAGCCTGGTTTGATCTCTGCCGGGGCCAGGGACATAGCTCAGTGGCACAAACTCCTGCCTGGCAAGCGCAAGGTCCTGAGTTTGATTCCTGGTACTAAAAATTTAAAAAAAAAAAAAAAAAAATAGAGTTCTGACTACTGTCAGTTTCCCTCATGTTGATCCACAGCTCCTTCTGGGTCCATAAGGTCCATCAGCTTCTTCCTTCAGGTGGACACTTCCGAGGCAAGGCCCTCCCCCAGCCCATTCCCCCTCCAAAGTAAACCTTCATTTGTTATGCAGCCAAGGCTGCCGGCTCTCCTCAGCCTGGCCTTTGAGCTGTAGTTCAATGCATTCCCACCAGTTGCCCCTACTCACAGTGGAAGGGGTAGAACCCTCCTGCTTGGCTCCCACTAGCATAAAACAGCAAGTGTGACTCAGATCCCACAGTCCTTTGAGACTGTTTAGAGAAGGCTGGCTCCCGCAACCTCGAAGATGCATTTTAAGGCTATAGATCCGCCATCATTTACCCCCATGTTATGATTCTCCATAGAACAGAACCACATTTGTTCACACAATAAACAATATCATCATTGTTGTTGTTGTTTCACTGGCAGCCGTAGCACACGATGAACTCATACTAGACTTTCGTGTTCGAATTTCAGTATCTTCATCAGTGATGTCACTATTAATCTTGGAATTCCTCCTAGTAAACAAGTCAGTAAAAAAATAACTACGAATGAATAAATAAAAGAAATCCTTAGGGACACTGTGCATATCAGCATGTGCCTGAGACTGGGCGGGAAAGAGAATGAAGAATTATCACCACCTGGACATGAGGCTCCTTGGTGGGAAACGTGATCGTGGGGAGGGTTGCACGATTCAGTGAGGCCGCGTGACCACTGCATCACACACTTAACAAGGGTAAATCTGACGGAATGTGAACCGTATCTCTGTAGGGCCCTGATTTTTAGCTGGTGCACACCTGTAATCCCAGCAGTCAACAGGCTGAAGTAGGAGGATCGCTACAGAGTTCATGCTTGGACTTCGTGGTGAGACCCTGTCTCAAAAAAGTAAAACTGTAATTCCTAAAAAATGAAGGAACAGAACTGAGTCACATTTTCTTCAGTTCAGCTGCTTTCTTTAGTACCTTTGTTTAGCACATTCTCAAACAGGTCCTAGGAATTAAAAGATTGATATCACTAGTTAGAAAAAATCATGAGAATTCTTTTTTGGATGTTTTTAAACTTCTTATTCCAAGAAGAATTCTTTGTTTTGTTTTGTCTTTTTGAGCCAAATTACACTATGTAATTTAGGCAGACTTTGAGCTTCCTTTGTACCCCATACTGGCCTCAAACTTATGGTGATCCTCCTGCCTCAGCCTTCCAAGTGCTGGGACTACAGGTGTGCAGCACCACATCCAGCTCCAAGAAGTTTATCATGCACCATTCTAAAACTGAACTCCATAAGTATGTTTTAGTCTGATATGTGAACTCCCAGGCTAGCAGTTATGAGCACTCTCTGGTGAGTTCCTTAAGTAATCAAGGTAGTGGTTCTCAGACTTAGCATTCATCAGAATCACCTGAAAGCCTTTTTAAGCCAGGTGTCCGGACTCCACCCAGAGTTTCTGAGTCAGTGGGATATTTCCGGATGACGCTTTGCCAATGCTGGTGTGAGAAGCACACACCACGCTTTGCAAACCGCTGCTATGAGGAAATATTCTTCTATTTTACAAATGGGAAAACTGACACTTAGATCCAGTGAATTGCCAGGAGTCACACGATGTTGCAAACACTACCTTGAGCTGACCTACCAGCACTTCTCCAATCTCTCCTCTCCCTCTGCTCTCCAGAACGCAGGCTGGAAGTGCTGGCTTTTCTTTCCCATACTTCTTGCAAGTGGGAATCCCCAGGCGGCACAGGCCCAGAGACAGCCCCTTCTTCCTGATGAAAAGGCAGACAAGACCCCAGGAGTCGTGTTGTCTTTTCCCGTGGTAGACATGTTGGACCTAACAAAATGCTCCTGGTTCTTGATGACTGGTAGTTGACCCAAAGATCTCCACAACAACAAAGGACTTCTTGTTATGTGTGAAAAATAAGCCTCTAGTCAGATGTGGTAGTGCACACCTGTAATCCCAGCATTCGGGAGGCTGAGGCAGGAGGATCACCGTGAGTTCAAGACCAGCCTGGACTACAAAATGAGTTCAAGGCCAGCCTGAACTGCATAGCAAAGACAAAAAAAAGAGAGAGGAAGAAAACTAAGCCCCTCTTAGTTTATGTCACCATTAACAATCATTCAAAGCAGACATCACCCCTAATGAAACACAGAATGACCAATATTGGGCCCAGAGTTATACCTAAGGCTCTCTAACCTCCGACTTCTTTTCACTCTGCACTGTCCCTGGAAGTGAAATGTGATACCATCAAGTACTTGACATTCCCCAAGAAATCTCTTAACTTCCCTCTAACTCGGTCTCCAAAGGGAAGTGATTTGAATAATCTGTCTCAGCCTTGCACAAAGGAATTGAAAGTGGTTTAAATCTACCCAATGCCCTGTGACTGACCCAGGCAGAAGCCTATAGACAAAAGCTTACTACTCAGACCAAGGTACACTCACCTGCAGCACCAGTGGCAGCCAGCAGCTGTTTAGAAATGCAGGTATCTAGCAGGCAAGGTGACTGTGCTGGAAAACGGGCACTCTGGGAGGCTGACAGGAGGATTTAAAGTCTGAACCTAGCCTTTGCAAAATAAATGTTACCAGAGCTAGGGACATAGCTTAGTGTGAAGGCCCTGGGTTTGTCTCCCAGTAAAAGGAAGGGAGAGAGGGGAGATCTCAGGCCACTTCCAGTCCTAGTGAACCAAAATCTGCACACACTTCAACAATCTCTGCAGATCCCAGCTTCCCATGCTTATTAAAGTATCAGAAGCAATGTTCTAACTCAGTGGTTCCCAAAATTGAGCATTAGAATGACCTAGAAATCTAAAAACAAACCAAAAAACAGAGTTCTGGGTCTCTATTCAGACTTGCCAAAGTATGGAGGCACAAGTCTGTAATCCCAGTCACTCAGGAGGCCGAGGGAGAAGAATCTTAAGTTCAAGGCCAACCTTGGCCATATAATGACATCCTGGGGAAAGAGAGACAGAGACAGAGACAGAGAGGACACTTTGGGAGGATTCAGATGCTACATTACTACCTTACATCATTTTTACATTTCTGTTTCCAGGGTCCTTCTCCCAGAATATTGCACATATACACATGTACAGCATTCTGTATCCAATTTCAAAACCTCACAAGTTACTGACATCCTCCTAGAGACCTTCTAGGACCTTCAAATTCCAGAAAAAAAGTCCTGTCTGCATGTCTGGACAATTACAGAAATGCACTCAGAATCCTGATGCAGAGAGGCAGCCCAGCTCCTGTCAAGTGGGGTGAGCCCTGTTAGTTCTCACCTGGAGATGATTTATGTAACCAGCTAGAGTCCAAGGTCACAGCTCAATTAGCAGTAAGTGCAGCTATGTGTGTCCTGGGCTTTGCTATCACCCCGGATTACATGGCTATTCATTTCATTTTCACCAAATTAACCTAATTCACATCGAGGATGACTTCCTGCTCAACCACTACTCACAAGGATGCCACAGAGGAAGATGCCCCATTTAATTAGCAGAGTTTGAAAATACGTGCAGAACACACTCTTCAAAACAAGTTACTCTGGAGAGGGGGAGGGGGAATAAAAAGAACTAGGACTTGTTGTATGCATGTACCAACTCGCCATAATAAATGGAAACATTATGTACTGCAAACACATATTAATAAAAATTTAAAAATTAAAGGAAATATTTCACACACATAAACGTATTCCACAGGCAAGGGCACCTCCACCAACTAACCGAGCAGACCAAGTGTCCCTCCACACACACATTTCTATTGCCCCACTTATTTCACCATTTTATTGTGCTATTATTTGTTCTTTCAACAACCACAGGCTCCTGGTGGCAAAATGATTATTTTACACAGTCATTCGACTGACTGTAGGACCTCCATAAATAGGCACTGAAAAAATGATGAGGTGGCTAATGGAAAGATGAATGTATGTAGGGATGGAGGGATAATGACAAATGGAGGATTTTGTGGAGGATTTTAAATGTAAAGAAAAAACAAGCCATTAGAATCTAGGAAATTCAGGTGAGTTCTCAGTTAAGACATTTAGCCACCAGATAAAGTTCCCCTCTATAAAAAGAGGGCGCTAAGAACGTAACACCTGATTTTCTAAGGTTGCTATGACAACTGAATCAGAGCCTGCACATGAACACGTTTGTACCTAAAGCAGCCCTGAGTGTCAGACTATGAAAAGAGAACTGTGGCAGGACCTGGCAGAGCTGGGCTCGAAGTCTGGCTTCACCATAATCAGCAGCTGGGCCTTGGGAAAGTTTCGTCAGCTCTGCACTGGCTTCCTCATTTGAATGATGGAGATGGCAGTAACCTTTCCCCACCCAAAAGGCACCAAGATAACGGGCCTCCTGTGACGAGCGGCCTATGTCAGCTCTCAGAACTGCTAATAAGAGGAGGTCAGGTACCAAAACCTGGCCATTTCCATCAGTCTGATCAGGTTGCTTGAGACAGCAAGCTTCAGCAGCCAGATCTCTAACCAGAGGCTAAGGAGAGTGAGGTGAGACAGGAGAACCTCTTGGGCAGGCCTCTCACTCTATCCAACACCAACTTCCCAAGCCAAGTTTCACAATTGTCCACATGAGCAAACTCTCTTGCCTCAGTGAAGCAATAACTGTGTGCATTTCTTTATACATTTCCCTTTTCCTGCCCTCCCCCGCCCTCCTCACTAACACACTTTCCTCCATCACAGCCTCTGCTTGGTTTTTGGGCCCGGATGGTTTTGGGCCTGGAGTCTTTGAAATCATGGCCTCCACTCCCAGGCTGCAAGAGCTGGGTGAGTCCATTCACCCTGGTGCCTCGGTTTGCTGTGTCCTGGGTCACTCACTCCAGCCTTGAGGGGATGGGAGGGTTGTTGGGATTCAGTGGCTCTTACAGAAAACATGGCAAGGATTTGGACTTCAGAGTTTCTCTCTTCCCCTGTGTGTGGCGGGGATGGGGAGATCCGGCTGGAACAAGCTCAAATTGATCCAATTCATTTGTTCCAGAATTGGGGGAAGTAGGAAACTCCCAGACCCAAGTCAGTCTTGATCTGAATTCAGGGAGTGTGGAAGGCCCTTTAGCGCAAACACCTATAGAAACATCCTGGTGTTTTACAAGCCTGTGGCGCCTTCCACCAGGGCTAGGCCGCTGACTGGACTGGGAGAGCTGGCAGTGACCTCATGACTGCCCAGTTTATCCAGGTCCCTCTGCCCACCTGTCTGTTAGCAAACAACTAGGAGTCAGCTGCCCAGGAAAAAGCATCCTTTCCCAGAACCCTCAGCTCACTCAACCAAACAATGAGGAAGCCATAACTGGCACAAGCCCTCAGAGCAGAAAAGCAGGGGAGATGGTCAAGTTCCTGCTCAGCCACAGAAGCACAGTGCTGCCCGTCGACCAGCCACCGCCCGTTCCTGTCATGTGAGCCTTCCATTCACACCACATCCAGGCTCCCAAGCACGGGGCTCTGCAGCAGGGCCTGCGTTTGGCCCAGCCCTTTCCATTCGTCTGGAGCCAGGGGAGGGGAATGTAGTCAGCCATCAGAAGTCGGCAGGCCTGAAGAGCTTGCTGAGGGCCGGTGTGTGACAGCATGTGCCATGCGCCTGCTCTGCCTCAGAAGGCAGCCTCATTTCACTTCCCCTGCAAGGAAATAGGGTCCTTGGCAAATGAAGAAAGCAAGGCCATGGGCATTATAAAACGCATGAGTGATCTCAGACAACAGTGGATCTGAGCTTCAGATACACCTGCTGTCACGTTCAGTGGCTTTTCCATCCCCTACCTAGGAGCTGCCGCACATCAATTTCCTCGATCTGTAACTTTCAGTCCTTCACCACCTAAGATTCCAGCATCCTGGACCCAGCTGGAAAGGCAAAGAGAGAGAGAACAAGGTACTAAGCAGCAGAATACTCTCCTGGCAGGCAAGTTAAGGCCCCAAATACCCATAAGTTCCAAGGTTCATGAGCTGTCAACAACCGAGCCTCAAGCTCAGGAAACACCCTTCACATGGCCTTTCAAAGGTCATTTGCAGCACAGATTGGTCAAACATGGCTCGGGCCTGTAGGCTAAAAACCCAACTTTCAGTGATGGGCTGCAGGGAGAAAAAGAAATCATTTATTAGCAGAATGATAGGAAGTCTGCAGGTAAAACCAGAACCGAATTTTCTCACCACTCAAAAGTCGATGCCTCCCTCGTTTCTCTGTCTGTACATAAGGGGCAAGTGCTATCAGGGAAATAATTTACAACCCCTTGTGCACCATTGTAAATAGTTGCTGTGTTTGCTGGCTGTAAAAACATCTCTGAACATACTGACCTTCAGCAGGTGAGCCTTGTGTTTATAGCACTGAAGAATTGTTTTACTACTTCAGCAGAGGCAGCAAGTCTGCTGGACACCTGCTGAGGGTGAAAAGTGGGGGACCTGGCCTGCTGGTGCTCAGGAAAAGGGATCTCTGCAGAGCAAGCTGCCCCCATGTTAGTCAGCAGACAAAATAAACCACCAAGCACCCTGTCAGACACTGGCCCACAGCAAACATCCAGTCCAGGATGAGCCAACTAACCAGGTCTCTAAGGACTGAGGCCCAGAGGGCATTTTTGGACCTGGAGATTCCTCCCAAAGGTCAATAGGAGGGACTACAAGGCAAGTTCTGGGGAAACTCTGTGGTCTGAGCTGGGATAACCTGAGAAAGTTGATAAATAAGAGGGGCAGGAGCAAAAAACCAAAGATAGGATCCCAAGGTCAAATCTAGATTAGTGGCCAAGTGAAAAGTATTCTGCCAAGCTGAGTGTTCACGAACTAGAGCTGCATGTCTGCTATTTTTATTTTATTTTTATTTTTATTGTGATGGTACTAAGGATTGAACCCAGGGTCTTCTCATTGCATTACATCCCCAGCCCTTTTTTAAAAAAAATTTTTAACTTTGTTTTGAGACAGGTCTCACTGTACTGCTAAGCTGCCCATGCTGGGCTAGAATCTCCTGACTCAGCCTCACAGACTGCTGTGATTAGGGTGCCACAGTGCCCAGCAAGCATCTGTCTTAAATGGCAACCACCCCATTATGCACAAATGAACTGGGTGAGCTGAAAAGAAGAGGACTGGGGTAAAGAAAAATATTTTCTTCTTCACCTTTCAGCTTGCTCTGAGAAGGTATTATGAGTTCCATCAATGACTTGGCACATAAATTTCAGAGAGGCCCCAGAGAGGAACACATTTCCCCCAGAAACAATCAGTAAAGCATCCGTGAGTACAAATGTGATGGCCCTGCACCCTTTGATCCATCACAGAAAGGTAATGTGACCTGTGACAAAACCTCTGTAATGCTTTGAACCACACTGTCAGGCCCATGCCCTCTGAGAACAGAAGTGCACAAAAGAATAATAAAGACAGCCCAGCTAAAAAGCACACTGAGAGGCCTCTGAGCCCTGGAAGCAGTGATGCAATCAGGGACTTCATATAGTTTGTTCACACTGAGAGCTGGAAAATGGCTTCTTTGCACTCGGCAAGCTCAGTCCTGGCCAAATGAGGAAGAGTCCAGTGGGTTGGCCTGCAGTTGCCCAATACCCTAGGCCTCTGGGGAGACCTAAAGCGGAAGCAAGCCATTGTGTCCAGACCAAGTGAGAAACCTAGTGATTTCCACT